TTACACATGATACATGAAATATCCAATTTTTATTGAATAAATATTTCCTCTGCATATTATATTTTAAAAAACCAATAAAATAAATTGTCTCCTCTCGTCTTCAAAAAAAAAAAAAAAAAAAAAGAAGGAAAACAAAAAAATCTCGTTCTCCAAAACTGTGAAAATCCGTGACAAAACAACTCACCGATCGACAATGCGATCATTCTCTTCTTAGGATTAGGTTCGACAACGATGTTCTCAACGATCGATCTTATAGGGTTGTGCGTTCTTTTTGCAATATGAGAAGCTCGAACCTCCCATCGTGTCCGTGAACTTAAACCAGACATTTCGTTCGATCCCCAAGTTGTTTTTTGTTCTTTCAATAAAAACAAAAAAACAACAACTTATCGATTAGATGATTTGAACAAGTTGCGTTGCTATTAGAAACATAGACAACTTAGAAAACGATTTAAAAATGATCACTATGATCAACTGTTCTTCGATCACTGAGCGGAGATCAACGTATACCAATAATAATCGAAATGTTCGAAGGAGGCTGGAAAATAAACAAACCGGTCGGATTGGTCGGTTCGGTGTTCCACACCTTCTTTTATAATTAATTACATACAGATTATATGTTTACGCGTAGATTAATGGCCTCGAATCAATTCGCTGCACTATTAAAATCATCGCCTTTCATCTATTAATCTATCTATAATGATTTACTTTTGATTGACATTATTTTTATTTCGAATGAACAGTAAATCGTATCAGTGTCGTTTCGATATATCGATTCGTTCGCAAAATCAGAACTATTATTTCTTCTTCTTCTTCTTAAAACTACTATTCGATAAATATAATATATATAATCTTTCAATAAAAAGAATAAAGAGTTAGTTTGTTTTTAAATAAATTTTTAGGAGGAATGCGGTAATTCCGGTTTTCATGAATAAGTTTGATAACGGTCAAGGATTTGAACTTCATCGAAATTAGTGAATCGAATGATCAGTTCGAGGAAAAAAATGTTTGTCAGGAGTCCTGCATTCCTTCAATAATACTTCTTCTCACAATCAGAGTAGAAAACAAAATTACCAGTTTGTTGATACAACGAACGTTGCGAAAGGTGTGCCCGTTTTCAATGGAAAATAAAACAGCATATGCTAATTCGAATAGATCAACACGATCGTTGGAAATAATATAAGAAAATAACACGATGCATACACTAATTCTTATATACGCATATTCATCTTCGATCTAATTTGCATTAAAACCGAGAAACTATCTGGAAGAAACGTTTCATTTCGAACGAACTATAGATTAACCAAAGTGCATTCAAAAGAAATATATCTGCAGTATAAATGTTATTCCTTACTTCCTTCTTTCCGAATATCGAATAGCCAAATTTTTCGATACTTTTCTAAAAACATTGGATCCTTGTTATGTATGCATTCTATCCATATCTCACTAATTATAATATGTGCATGTTTAATAAGGAAACTCACTTCGTGAGTGATAAACTATTTGTTTATCGAAGCTAAGCGTTGTTTATAAGAATCCCCAAGGTTATCCTTGCAAAAATGCATTCAATCTTACCTGATACCCGTTCTAGTTTTACGATATAAACAAATAACTGACCACATTGATATCCATTGAAAACATTTGAAAAAAAAATAACAAAAAAAAAACGAAGGTTCAATGGTCAACAACGACAACAACAACATTCGTACAAATAATACAACGTTGCAACAAGGATGAAGAAAGGTATTGAGATTTACAGAATGCTTTATTTTATCGATGAATGCGTTAATTAAAAACTATTAGTTAGTCGATGTTAAAAAGGAAAGAAAAAAAGAGAAATAATAAAGGTAAGGCTCGTACGTATACGATTCGACCGTATTATTACGTGTTATAATTATGACGTACACATTATTTTATTTTTACATACATATTTACTTACGTATGTAGATAATTATAGTGTATCCGGATGGACAAGACAAATGGTTTGATTTAAGATAAATTTGAAAATGTCATTTTATTATCTACGTAGCAAAATACCTATTTATTTAAATATTTGGCTTCACACAATATTACGAGGCTAAGAATCTTTTTTATATTTAATATACAATATGTAAAATGTGCCATATTGAATATGGGCAGTGTCCATGGTAGTACGATATAATCTTAACAAATTTTTCTTAGGATTTTTTCTGCTTTTTTTTCAGCGTTTTTGTTTTTTTTTTTTTCTTTTTCATTACTTCATTTTCTTCTTTAACGAAAGATATAAATATATATTTATTATTTTACATGCTAAGTGGGGTAGTACGCTAAGGCACTTGTATTGCTTGCTTGAATAGTTATATAAAAATACGTAAGAGAAATTCTCAAAAGATCGGATAGAAGAAACATTAGAATTGACAAGAGCTGAGCGTGAAAGAAAGAACAGAAAGAAAAAAGGATATGGTAGTTAGAGAAGGAGAAGAAGAATAGGGGAGAATAAAAATTCGATTATAAAAAAATAAGGAATCCTTGCGTCCGGATTAAATTCGACCTACTCAATTTTCTATAATCTCTTTTTTTTTATTTTTTTTTTTAAATTCATTCCTATGCTTTCTTTCTTCTTTCTTAAAATCATTGTGTTGTTGTTTCTTCTTAGTAACGATCCCGATTGCGTTTTTATCGTTGCCGCGATAATAAAATAAAAGAGATTAAGAGAATACAAAGTAAAGGTGAGGGCCTGGGGTGGAGTGGAGTGGAGTGGAGTGGAGTGGAGTGGAGGGCGGGGGGGTGTTGTTGAATTTACGTATTCTTTATACAAACTTGGCAGCGACTTATTCTCGACTTAAGGTTTCCTGCCTTTAAGGTCTCTTGTTTGGGCGCACGGAATTGTTGACTATCTTCTATGGTAGACATCCAAAAACTAAACTCGTTCGAATAATAATGGCATTGACCTTTCGCGCCATTGCACTCGATGAAAGGAACCGCCCGGAAATCTTCCAAGCACGAACCAGAACCGGACAATGATTGTCCACCACCCTGAGCACCTGCGCCAGTGTGCTGAAAAGAAGAAGAAAAAGATAATGGAAAGGTAAGAAAAACGTGGGAGAGTTTTTTCTCCTCTCATGAATGAGAGAGAGAGAGAACGTTAGGAGAACAATTTTGAAGAATTTCATTTCTTTTATGACGTACCATTATGAAACTGTATCCAATCCAAAGGCTAGTCCATCCATTTGGACAAGTCAGAAATTCTTGGGACTGACTGTGTATCGTTATAACATTTGTTGGAACTTCGCATACTACGCACCTGTTATTTGAAAAAAAAAAATAAGTTATTCCCTTAAATTCATCTTTTCATATAATAATACATAGTATATCTCCTGCACGAATTATTCAAATCGATGTGCAACTTATGTAATACGTATCACGTTGTATGACACAGTGTCACTTATCAATTATTAATAACAAAGTTTCATTTTCATAACCTCACGGCGTAAACCGCGAATTCATGTTTATTAAATACGGATATATTTATCGAATGCAATCTTAAGCAAGCTTCGATGCAAATTACTATACGAATAGATAAAAAATCTGCAGAGAGAAGAGTATTTATTTATATTTCCACGAGATGTGAAACACAAATTCAAGCATACCTGGAGATGTATTCCTCTATCGCCAATTCCTCGATTGGCATCATAGGAATTGCTTTATTCGTTGATAACCAATAAGAACGATCATTGCGACTAGCGTAATTGCAAACATCGTTGATATCGCAAACTATGAAGGGCATTGTCGAGAATTTTCTTACGCACGAGCCAGCGCTACCTGTTTTTTTTTTCCACAACAGAGATTTATTGAACGAGTTAATATGCTAATTAATAATTTTTTTTCATTGCTCTCCATTACGTATGACGTAAGAATAATTGATTTGTCAATACGATTCTCTTACCTAGATCCTGAGAATGAGCTCTCTCGTCGCCGTCCGTGAATAATAAACTATATCCTTCCCATAGTTTGATGTGACCTGAATCACATTTAGGTACATATTCACTCTGACTATGTCGGACTAGTAAAATGCCGGTGAGATAATCGGGTGCAGTTTCGCATGGTTGACCTGGTTCTCCAGCAGGCCCAGGAGCTCCAATAGCACCTTCGAGACCTGGCAAACCGGGCGAACCAGGTGGACCGGCAAGACCTGTCAATCCTTTTGGACCAGGAGGTCCCATGAATCCTTGAGCTCCTTTTGCACCGTTCATTCCTGGGAAACCAGGTGGTCCTGGAAGACCTTTTTCGCCTGGTTGTCCAGGTAATCCAGCAGGACCTATTAAAAATGAATTAAAAATGTGAGTGTGTGTGTGATCACATAGTAGATTATAGATTTATTTTATACTCCACAATCTAATCAAATAAAAATAATAGTTCTACAGCTATACCTGGATAACCGCGATCACCCTTCGGTCCTAGTGGAGGTTCGATACAATCGTCACCTTTTTCACCTTTATCACCAACGTATCCAACGGCACCCATCAAACCAATTGCACCAGGATATCCTCGATCTCCCTTTTCACCAACTATTCCAGGAAGTCCAGTTGCTCCGTCCCAACCGGTATCACCCTTTTCTCCAGGAAGACCATCCAAACCATTTTGACCTATGTACGTAAACAGAAATTTGTACAATGTATGCGTGTTAAGTTTATAAAAAGTCCTTTCAAAGACGTTTAGCAAAAGTTCTACCTGGTTGGCCAGGCTCTCCTTTCTGTCCTGGAGCACCGAAAAGTCCTGGTGGTCCTCTGTCTCCCTTTAGACCTCTATCACCTGGCAGACCTGGTACTCCTTCGAGACCTGGCGCGCCATCGCGTCCAGGTGGACCGCTAAGACCGGCAGGACCTTCGTCACCTTTTTCTCCTTGCGGTCCAATAGGACCATAAGGACCGGCATCTCCTTTTGGTCCAGGCAATCCAGGAAGTCCTTGTTCTCCTTTTTCTCCTGGAAGACCTGAGAAACCGTCTCGTCCATGCTTACCCATCAAACCTGGTAAACCTTTCTCGCCCTTAATTGTTATTCCAGGTAGACCAGGAGAACCAGACGGACCTTGATCACCTATCAAAGAGATTGTCATTATAGCTCATTACAGCTTACATACAAGTCTTAATCGCGTGATTAATAAAAGAAATAATATATAATAGATAAGATTACCTTTAAGGCCTACCGCTCCAGGCTGGCCAGGACTTCCTACCGGACCAGGCGGACCTCTATCTCCTTTCTCTCCATCGTATCCAACCATACCTTCCAAACCACGATCACCTTTAGCGCCAGGTAGTCCAGTTAAACCAGGATGACCAGGTTCACCCTTTTCTCCTTTGATTTGAATCGTTGGTCCTTGTGGTCCCTTGTCTCCTTTCTCACCGGGTGATCCAGGAATGCCAGCAATACCAGCAGGACCTTAGAACGAGAAGAAAATCATTTGTTAGAATGATGAAGGAATCATGAAACAACGAATTTAACTCACCTGGAAGACCGCGATCGCCTTTAACGCCATCAAGTCCAGGCCGTCCTGGTGCACCCATTTTTCCCTCAGCTCCAGGGAAACCAGGTGCTCCGGGAGGTCCGACTTCTCCAACTTCACCTGGGAAACCATCCATACCAGGTGGACCTGGTTCTCCTGGTTTTCCGGGTAGACCCTTCAAGATAATAATAATTGAAGTACGTGAAACGGGTAATTTATTAAATTATTATATATAACTGTTATATATATATATATATATAAATATTTACCACATCCCCTTTTAAGCCAATGAATCCTCGTACGCCAGCGTCACCTTTCGGACCTTGAAATCCTGGTAATCCATCGCGTCCTGGTTGCCCTGCTTCTCCCTTTAAACCAGGTAAACCGTCTCGTCCTACACCTGGTCTTCCAGGCTCACCTTTCAGACCATCATATCCATCCTTTCCTGATGGTCCAGGAGGTCCACGAATGCCAGGCATTCCAGGTTCACCCTTCTGTCCTTTTTCCGATACTTGCCCTGGCTCTCCTTTTCGGCCCTAATAATATTCAAATAAAAATTATAAAATATGTAATAAATCACACACAATCGACTTAACGTATAATTATTATAAAAGGTAGATTGCAAATAAATCTAAGGGTAACGTACAGGTAACCCTGCTGGTCCTGTATCACCTTTTGGTCCCTCATACCCGGGTAATCCCGGCACACCAGGAAGACCTTCTGGACCAATATCTCCTTTTTCGCCTGATAAACCAGGTCGACCAGGCTTTCCTTCCATACCAGGTAAGCCTGGGAAACCTGCAGATCCTTTCTCACCCCTTTCTCCTTTCAAACCGGGCAAACCTTCGCTTCCAGATCTACCAGGTGTACCAGGCAATCCACGTCGTCCAGGATATCCTTTGGGTCCATCAATACCAGGAACTCCACGATCCCCTTTTGTACCAGGGAATCCTGGAAGTCCTGGTCTACCCGGTTCTCCTAATAATCCTGGTTCACCTATGAATAAAACGTAGTCACTTTTAAGCAATGATTCGATAAGATAGTAAAAAAATAAATATCATATTTAAGTCAAAAAACAATATTTTACCTTTACTGCCGTCAGCTCCTGGCGTTCCAGCGGCACCAGGAGGCCCTGGTGGTCCAATTGGTCCGTTATCTCCTTTCTCTCCTGGTATACCCGGCAATCCATTATTTCCTGGAACGCCGATATCTCCTTTTTCACCAGTAAATCCTGTTAGTCCTGGCGATCCAAATTGTCCTTCCTTTCCTGGTGGACCAGGAAGACCTTTTTCTCCTTTTAATCCTGGTGGCCCGGGTAAACCAGGACTACCTTTTACAGATATTCCTGATTCTCCTTTATCGCCTTTTGCACCGTGGAAACCTGGATACCCTCTAAGTCCCTCACGACCAGGTTCGCCAGGGAAACCCATTGGCCCTGTGTTTCCTTTATCTCCTCTAGGACCAGGTAAACCACGTGGTCCGACAGGACCAGTTGCACCACTTGGTCCAGCATTTCCTGGGGGACCCTGATTTTGCACGAAAGCGACGATTTACATTTGTATCTATAAGCAACGAATAATCGCATAAAAATTATCATTCATCTACTGACCTGAAGTCCTTGTAAACCTTTGTCACCTGGTAGCCCATCTGCGCCAGGAGGTCCTGGTTCACCTTTGTCTCCTGGAGGACCTCTACTACCTTTCAATCTATCCACCCAATTTAAAGGTTGACACATTCCTAAATAAATGTTAAAACATAACTTTCTATTAAATATTCTCTTTGTATTTGCAATCAAAAAAAAAATGTAACTCTATATATTATAAATATGAATCTTACCAGGTTCACCCTTTTCACCGTAAAATCCAGGTTCACCCTTCGCTCCAGGAGCTCCAGGCCTTCCTGCCTCTCCAGGTTCTCCCTTCAAACTAGTTCCTTTTTCACCTTTGCGTCCAGGTGTTCCTGATCTACCAGGCGTACCATCTTGTCCCGGAAATCCACGATCTCCCTACCATTATAATATATATTATATTATGATCAGATTGAAAATTGTATTTATAAACGAGTGAAGTAAAACCAATGATACCGGCTGTCCTTTCAGTCCTGGGAAACCTTCCAATCCTGGTCTACCCTTTTCTCCTGGTGGTCCTTCTGGTCCTGGAGGTCCTGGCCGACCCGTTTCTCCTCGCAATCCTTTATCACCTTTTTCTAATTTTAACATGTCTTTAGTAACTATGCCTGGCGCTCCCGGAGATCCTTGAGGCCCAGGGGAACCTGGAATGCCATCTCTTCCCTTTTTGAAATAAAAATTAATCGTATCGTTAATTATAATATTAATATATTTAATCATTATTCAAGTTTCGTAAAAAATTTAAAGAGTAATGTACCGGTGGTCCTGATGGCCCCATAAGTCCTGGCAATCCATCCAGCCCCGGTTCTCCTGGAAATCCACGTTCCCCGGGCGGACCACGCGAACCTGGCAAGCCAGGGTTACCATCGAATCCCCGATCTCCTTTCGGTCCTCGTGAACCTGGTATGCAATCTTGACAACGGCCACCGATATCTCCTTTTTCACCGGGTGATCCGGGAAAACCAGGTGCACCATCTCTTCCTGGTGTACCAGGCTCTCCGGTTAATCCAGGTGCTCCCGGTGAACCCGGAATTCCATCCAAAGAATCTCCTGGTCGACCTCGTACTCCAACATATCCGCGTTCTCCTTTTTGTCCTTTTTCTCCATCTCGACCAGGTGTACCATCCATTCCTTTAGGGCCCTTTATAGAAATTAAACGGTAAATAATCGTTCATGTTTATTTTTAAGGAAAATAAATTATTCCTTACCATAATCGATAATCCTTTTTCCCCAGGTAGACCTCGTGGACCTACTGGTCCCGGAGGACCGTCGAAACCACGACGACCATCACCACCAGGAAATCCAGTAAGTCCTGGCTCTCCTTTTCCTCCTTTCTCTCCTGGCATGCCTTCCGGACCTGGAATTCCTTGCAAACCAGGCCCACCTTGTAAACCGATAGGACCTTTTGGACCAGGATCGCCTGGGAATCCATCGGAACCTCGAGGACCAATAGGTCCAGGAAATCCTCGTGGACCTTTGGGACCTGGTGGCCCTGGCCTTCCCTTGCCACCCTAATAATCGTAATCTCTTTCTTAAGTCGATGTCGATACATAATATTATGTACGATGTAAAATGATGTTTGACACGAGTTTACAAAAACAACTTACACCTGGTGGACCAGGTGGTCCTCTCAGTCCTGAAACGCCCATAGGTCCATCCTTACCAGGTTCTCCTTTTTGTCCCGGACGACCAGGAAGACCATCCAATCCGTCATAACCTCGATCACCTTTACGACCAGGTGGTCCAGGAGGTCCAGAAAAACCGTCCCTACCCTAAAAAAACATAGAAATTCACTTGGACGTTAGTAAGTCTAGAAGGCGAAAAAAAAACATTTTTGAAAAAACGGCTGCAAAACTTACTCGAATACCTGGCGCTCCAGGAAGACCCTTTTCTCCTTTCATGCCGGCTGCACCGGAGAGACCATGATCTCCTATCATTCCTGGTTCTCCTTTTAGACCATCGAATCCCATTTCACCCTAAATCGTGTCAATTCGCGTTATTTAAATTCCCATATGTTGCGTGAAACTATTTTTAGCGGCAAGTAATGAAAGGATTGGATTGAATTACTTTATCTCCTTTTTCTCCTGATTCACCAGGTGGTCCAGCCATTTCTGTTCCTGATGTAGTCAATGGGACGAACGGTCCTGTCGAACCAGGAGGACCTTGCTCTCCCTTCTGTCCCTTATCTCCTTTTAATCCTTCAAATCCAAGACCCATATTACCTTTTTCTCCTTTCAATCCTGGGATACCAGGTATACCCTATTATCAAATATAGACTTCTTCGTATACCATAGAATTTAGAAAATACATAGAAGTTTAATGTGAAAGAATTAATCACCTGTGGTCCCCGTTCTCCTTTCGGACCGGCATAACCTCGTTGTCCTTGCAATCCTGGAGGCCCTGGGGGGCCTCGTACACCATCTATTCCAGGCTCTCCTTTCTGACCAACTGGAAAATTTCCTGCAAAAGCTGGTTGACCCTTTTCTCCTTTCGGACCTGGAGTACCACGAAAACCTCGCGGCCCTATTTCACCGGGTTGACCATCTTTACCTGGAGCACCCTATTAATGGTTCGGGTAATATAAGTGTAATTATGCTTCGAAAAATGAAAACAAAGTTCTATATGTACATACGTCTGTTCCATTACAACCATCTCTACCAGGAAGTCCAGAAGCGCCGGGTGGGCCTTGAACTCCAGGAATACCATTTATTCCAGGAAAACCAGGCATACCCATTTTACCCTTTAAAAAACGAGATTACATATTAATCGTAACCGGAACTATAATAGTCTTACGCCCTAAGATATCTGACAATATCTAAAAATATCTTATTTACCCTATCTCCTTTTGATCCACGTGGTCCTTGCGGACCAGGATCACCCTTTTCTCCTTTCGGACCTAAAAGACCTTCCGATCCAGGAAATCCTTGTTGTCCTTTTGGCCCTTGTGGTCCAACCGTACCGGGTGGTCCCTATTAAATGGACAAAAAATTAGTTTCTCGTCGTAAATGTGGATCCTCTAGTAGCGTCATCGATAATCCTTTAAAACTCAACTGACCCGTGAACCTTTCTCAGCGAAGCATTTTGGTACGCAATTAGCCGAGCCAGTGCAATTACGGGATCGAGTTGCACCAGGTACAGTAACAACCGAGTAACTGCTTGGATAATTTTCCGATTCTCCAGCTGCTCCATATCCACCTTGTCCTCTATTGTAACCAGTATTGTAACCGCCAGGATTGTAACCGCCAGGATTGTAACTAGGATTGTAACCGCTAGGATTGTAACCAATATTGTACCCAGATTCCTGACCAGAAGAAGAAGAAGAGTCTCGACCGTAAGGATCAACGGGAGCACGATTAATATTATAAGAGTTTCTTGCATTATTTCCTGGATATTGGCCTTGACTATGAGAATAAGAATAACTAGGTTCTCTTTGTCCAGAAGGATAGTTGTTATATTGATTGTCGAGATTTCCAGATGATCCAGATGATTCTTCGCCATCCTGTCGTCTCCCAGACTCGGGGTACCCTGAATTATATGGGTATTGATTCGAATTATTTGAATGTCTTGATCCATAAGATTCACCAGGTATCAATCCATGTCGATTTTTATTATTTTCATCTCGGTAATCGTTCCCGAGGCCGTCGCTCGAATTCCAATTATCGATGTCAATACTTGTATCTGGATGCTTGAAATGCTGAACTAAGTGTCCCCACTTTACGTTATCATCGTCATCGGTGCCTTTTGGTTTTCCAATGTCGCCTCGCGCTTGATTCAAAGGAACGACCGGTTGCACGTTCCTATTCCATGTAATATTATTTTCCTAACGACAATAAAAAAGAAAAATAAGGGGATTGAAAATCTTAGCGATCGGTTAAAATTCGTTACATTATTTGGATAATTTTAGGGTTGCTTGGATAATTAAAGAAAAAACAAATAAAAGAAAATAAAGAAATTAAAAACAGCAACGAGCAATATTTAATCGTCATCGTTTTCCAGGAAAGTTTATTGTCTCATCTTTCTTTTTGTTTGGCTCTCGTTTAAATCTCGCAGTTACACCCGCCGACGGGAAGTACAAAGAGATAATTGCCTCGTTATCGCTCAGTAACGACGAGCCACCGTTCAGTCTCGCATACTTTTCAGACCTCGAAACGATTGAGTATGATCATTGAGAGATCGTCGTTCATTAACGAATCTTCGAAACGAAAATGTCATCATAGTTAAACTTATTTTTTACGCTGTACAAACATTTATAACGTTCACCGAGAGAAATAAACGATTATTAGGTCATTTTTATTATCGATTGATTATTTTCACATAATTTATAGTATTTCTATCTTTTATGTACACTTTACTTCTGTATACAGGATAAAAAAAAAACAAATGAAAAACCAACAAATTGTAATTCTAACAAAATTCGTATAGAACGCGTGAATCCGAAAATCGGTCGAATTGCGTCAGGGTAAAAAGAGAACGAGTACATTTGTGATCATTTAGATCAAAATTGCGCGATCCACGCGCGGTTCGTATAATTTCGTCTTAAACGCGTCTCTAACCTAATTTTCTTATTTCAAGATAAAAGATATCTTTTCGTGACGGTTCACAAGAATTGTCCTTTTTATCGGCTATCTCGGCAGCTTTCGTGAAATCACGATTACGTAATGCAAAGCCAACCAGAGTGAGAGACCCGAGTATATCGCGCCTACCGATCCCTTACCCGCCTCCGACAACCACCTTCCTCACCCTCCTTCTCCCCACTGGAACCCTCAACCTTCTTCTTCTTCTTCTTCGTAGTTTCTTTCTTCGGTTTCCTTCTGACTTCCCCTTGCCCCACCCCACACATTCCCTGAAGCTATCTTTCAGTGCACCGCGGTACCGCGAATTAACCGTTAACTCGACGCTTCGGAACAACGTTGACGTTGGTTCGGTGTATAGGTACGTGCACGCTTATGCATGGTACTTACGTGGGATGAGGACCATACATACACTTGGACTTCTTAACTCGGAATTTTTTAATCTTATAAATTGTTCGCGCGTACCGCCAGGCAGGCAATCACGTTTCGAGATTGCCAGACGAGGCATTCACAGCCTGCAAACCGGTGCAGCGAAAAACCGGTATTCTACGGTCGGTTCGTTACCGTGTTACGACATATTTATCGGCCCTTAAACACGCACCCCACCAAACGTCGCCGATGTAAAGTCAACTATTCCCGAAAATCCCGACGATCTTTTTACGTCTCGCTTAGATTACCTTGCAAGTTATTCCTATCGGAAAGGTTCGTTAAAGACATTTTTTAGTTATTTAATATATTCGGAGGGTTGGACGAAATATTTATAATATTTAATATCCAAATAAATGTTATAGTACTTTTTTTTAGTTCAATAGCAGCCTACATCAGTAGTAAACTATATTTAATATCCTTTGCTCGTATTACTGAAAATCATTTTTTTCGACTAACGCGAAATCGCCATGGTAATCGAAATTCCTGCCGCATCCAAAGAAAGTCTATCTCGTTGTTCTTAGAAAACCAGTTGAATCTAAATGTCGATGATGAACTGAAGAAGAGAGGCTTCGATTTCATCGAACGGAGAGCGAAAGCAAACGGAGAAGCATGTCCGAACTATTTTCAGTAGTGAGTAAGAAGCAGTCTCGCATGTCGGTATATGTATGTACGTACGTACGTACTAATGTAATAAAATTATGGTGAGCGCAGTTACGGCGCCCCGTGGGCGGACTGGTTCATGTCGTACGACTGCCCCATTTCTGATTTTGCAGCTTTTTGCAGCTGGTACCCTTCCAAACGAAATGATTTATTTCAAACTATTCGACCAATTCGATCCGTTGCTACCCGAATAAATCGGAACGCGAAAGGTTTAGATTTATAGTTAGAACGTAATAGTTATGATCGTTAAATGAGACGATCAGGTTTGAGAGAAGAGAGCGCGCAAACGTAGCCTCGCACGTGCACGCACGTGAGACCCGACGGGGTGAGCGAAAGGATCGTCGAGTAAGCGCACTCGTTAGGTGTTTTCGATGAATGAAACAACGAAACCGGGGCCCGAAGCAACGATCTATCGAGATTCTGTTGCACCTTACGGACCTTAAGGATATTTCTTAATGTCTGCCGTTGGATACTTTCTTCGTGATCTCGATAGGACTAGTATTCGCTAAGTGCTTTCTTTTATAACTAACGATAAATATTTGTATGCATGCATCGTTTACGTACCCCGCTGACGATCCCGGTCAAGCAGACTAGGGATGCGACGAGTCTGTAAATAAAAAGAATTATAAAAACGTATGAAAGAATGAGGGCCGCCACCCTCACAGGGTGTGTGTAAGAAAGAGAGAGAGAGAGAGAAAGAGAGAGAGAGAGAGAGAGAGAGAGAGAAAGAGAGAAGTAACCGGACACAGGGGAGGATTTAAAATAAAAGTGTTAGAAATAATAAAGTGTTAAACTTACCGCAATCCCAACCGGGTCATGTCGAGCTCCCTATTCCCTAAGCGGAGCTAGGGAGCCTTTGAAATCAGGCAAACAGGCACAGGTCAAACGTTAGCTACTCTTCGAACGGATCTCTCAGTCTCACAAAATATCTCGCGTAACCCGGCACCGAGTGGACGCGCTCTGTGGACCGTCCCATCCAGGGAGGGCTCTGAATGAAGTCGGGTGGAGGGAAAGAAGGTGGAGGCAGAGTGGCGAGCCACGCAAGCTAGAATTCCTCCGCCAAAAGGATCCGCGTGCGCGTGCGACCGAAAGAAAGAGCGCGAGTCGAGGATCGTGGATCGTGGTCGTGGATCGTGGATCGTGGATCGTGGTCGTGGTCGATAGTTATTGTCATCGGCGTCGCGGTTGTCGTCGTCGTCACCGTCGTTGCTTCTTCTCCTGGTGGTGGTCCTCGTCTCCCCGTTGGTGCTCCTTTCTCGTGTGTTTATCTCTCTCGCGAGTGAAACCGCTCGTGGGAGGGAGAAGGAGGGATCAACGGGGACAGTCTCGGCGGCGCTCCTTGTTGTCTTTGGCCCTCTGTTCTCCGGTTTGGAGCACTCCTCTTCTCGACTCGCTCGCGAGCGGCTACACGGCCAGCTCCGAGCAGGTCGCGCGTCGTTCGACGACTGTTGCGCGGTCGTCGTGATACTCTAAAGACCGGCGTACAACACTCGCGTAAGGATACCGGTGCGGCACGCTTTCCCTCCCGCCCTCTCTTCGACGACACGCCGGCTCTCTGTGTGTGGCGGCTGCAGCGATCGAGTGGTCGCTCTCCTATATATCTCTCTCTCTCTCTCTCTCTCGCACCGTGCTTGCTCTCTTCCTATCTTTCTCTTTCTCCCTCAGACTCTTCTCTTCACTTGGTCGTTCCTTCTTTCTCTACCTCTGACCGTGGGCCCTTCAAGACTCGTCCGCAACTCGACTGGACTCCTCTGCGCCACGCCACGAAGAGACACCGAATAGACGCGACCCAGACGTCGTCGAAACGAACGCTTGACTCGCTGAATTTTCGCGATAAAGGATCACCGCCTCGTCAGGTAGACGAGCCAATCCTCTGGAGAGGGAGGTAAGGAAAAGGAGGAGGAGGCCATCCACGATGCGGCCCTTGGCCGCCAATTTGGATGGGCCTAGCCCTAACATCCTACGAATCGCCTGGGTCCTTCTTATTATCGTCCTTGGGTTTATACCTTCGAACGAAGCTGTGGTGAGTCCTTATCTATATAATCATATATTTAGTAGAGGCATCTCGTAAGGATAATATTCGTTTGTTTGCTTGCTTGCTTGCTTGCTTGATTACTTGCCGCCTGCCTGCCTGTCAATCGATAGAATTGACCGACCGAGCGAAAAAAAAAGTCAACTGCGTGACGGCACGCTCGAAACACGCGGGCTCGCTTATGAACGTGGGTGAACGACGACGCTATTCTCGTTACTTGTCTTTAATTTTTAACTAACGTGTGGGGAGACGACTTCATACGAACGTATCCAGTTCATGCTTTTCCATTATACTCAATGGAAGGTACTACGATGACGTAACCTTTCATCCTCTAGACCGTCTTTGATACATCTTCAAATGTTAGATCGAAAGGATCGGTCAATGAATTCAATCGTAAAAGATAATGTTCTCCATGCATCAGATCGTACGAAAGTGAATCATAATAAAAAGAATCCCTTTAAACTAACACCCTAAAAGTCGTAGAAAAATATCTATGTTGCACAGAATATATATATAGATTGAGCCTAGTCCGAAAATCTCGAATAGAGTTTCCCTTTTCAAATAGTTTTATCTTTCTGTCTCATTGAAGTCACTCAGCAGGCAGGCAGCCAGCCTGTTCAGCAGGCGATTTCGACGCCCGGTGGTAGGGAACGGTCTTTGTTGTAGGAGACGAAAGAGGAAGGCCGACCGAGTTAGGGGAGGTGTAGGACGATCGTCGTGTCGGTTTCGCAAGACCCAAGCCGGAATCATCCTCCGCTATTATGTTATCCATCTTCTTTCGAACCCAGATCCCCAGACACGAATTTTATCTCCCACGCGCTCTCATTTCTTTCACGACCCGTTTTTTTTTAATTATCTAATTAGTTTCGACCAATCGATGCAATTTTTTACTTTAAAACCCATTGCTATTCGATTACATTCTGGTGATCGAGTACGTAAATGGTATTGAACGTCGATGAATAAACTTAGGATGAAAGGTAGCATCTATTTCGAGCTTCGGTAGCAGTCTATACGCGACAATAGTATTACTTTCACCGAACTGGAGTTTAGTAGAGTGTGTTAATATTACGATGTCAGTACCCGAGTTTACAAGCACGCAAAACTCGTTCGGCTTGAGATCCTAAGAGAATCGAAATATCGTTAAACCTAACCCATAAATTCTTAAAATAATTTTCAAGATATTCGCCGCACGTATTATTTTCCTTTTGCTACGGGAATGAAAAGAGAAACGACATCTAGTCGTCGATAAGAAGAATATTACGAAGCTTTGTTAATAACTCGAACATTACGAACAAAAGCAACGTGCTGGTGACATCACGCTTTGAAAATAATTTATTAGAAACTAGAATGTAAAATTGACGGATTTACGACGATAAGAATTAGTAGAAAATCGTTCGAGAATCGAGAAATGTTGCGAACGTCGGTGATAACCCTTATAAATGCATTTATTTTGCGCGTAAGTTAGCGTAAACTCCCCCTCAAGTTCGTCGTATCGTGCTTGGAAATAGTTTCTTTATAGAAAAATGTCGAACCAAATGAACCACGAACAAAGTTTATCGCCAAAGATTGTTCTATAAGTTCGCCGCCGATTCCCAGAAATTCGAAAGATTGCAAGTGAAGTAAAGATATATCGTTACGATTTCATTCAAGGAAAATAAATCCACGTAATTTCTGTGTGTGTGTGTGTGTGACCGTTATTTTAAAATTATTAAAAAGGGATGAATCGTCATTCGAAATTTTTATATCTGTCGCATGATAAGCTCGAGAGAAACGAGTTACCGATAACGTTCTTCCTTCTACCGTTTCATTTAGAGTTTCCTCCAAACATTTTTTTTTTATCCAACAATATCTTTAACTATGAAGAAATAAGATGTAATTTCTATATACAAAAACATTCTTTAATTCTGTACACGTAACGGACCTAAGAGGAAATTTGAGTATTAACATTTATAAAAGATACTGATAGAATTCGTTCTAATTGTGTCATAAACATGATCTCAGTTTCATTACTCTGTTGTCACGATTCATCTAAAGTAACTCTTATCGCTCGATGAAATACTTAGAGGTCTTTAATTATTTCAATGAGATACAACGGCCGTGAACTTTCTTGGATCAAGTTACCAGTCTTATTGGCAATGAACGTTTAAATAAAATAAAGATCGAACTTGATATACAAATCTATAAATCGTGATTAAAATTTGCATATGAATGTAAAAAATTAGGTGAAAGGGAGTTATATTTCTAGATTCTATTTCAATCATTATCAAATATTTAAGGGCGAGAGAAGACTATATATCTCTTACGAAACAAGTAACCTCGATATAATATTATCTCCCGAGTTCCAAAGTTCAAGGGGTTAACCACGATGCGTAAAACATTCTTTTGAAACCGGAGTAGCTCGTACGTTGACTAATTCTTATTAGTTTATTATTTGAATGCGTACTTGATTCAACGAACAGACTCCAGTAAATAAGATTCATTCTTTAAGTCAATGATATTGAGAATTATTTATCTAAATTATATTATCTTCTTCTTCTTCTTCTTCTTCTTCTTCTTTACTCTTTCTCTATTTATTTTCATATAAACTTCGTATATGCATTAATTTATATCAAACCTTAAGAATTTTCTTTTTTTTTTTTCTCTCTCTTTTTTCTTCTCTCTTGCATAGCAAGGATGATCGCTGGATCTTATTTAAAAGAAAGAAAAAGTATCTATTGCGAGTTAAAAATAAAGGCATCGTTTCGTCTTCATATCCGTTTCTATTTCCGCGTGAGCCGATAGTCTTTAGCGATGCAGCTATAGCGAGATATTTTTTCCTTCTTTTTCTTCTTCTTCTTTTTTCTTTTTCTCTTTCTGTCTCTCGTTCTCTTTTTCTTCTTCGTCCTACTCCTTCTCATATGTCGTCGATAAATTAAACCAGAAAGAAGCCTGACTCTTGGTATCCTCGCATTTCGCTGCATTCGGAAATACGAGGTCGACTCGAATCGTAGGAAAAGTTCGAACACGGCTGCTTCTTTCTTTCTAATCTCGAGCTTTATAAGTCAACTTAATCCATTGAAAAAGACCTATTTTATTAAATATATATATATCTCTCTCTCTTTTCAAATATATAATTATAATAATTAAATAAATAAAAAAAGTTTGAAAATTTTTCTTTTAGTTCGAATCTTACAAAATTGATCATCGTCCGTTTTTACTTCGTTCTAATTCTCTATCGTTTGATCAATTTTTAATTATAAGAAAATGAAACGCCGAAGAGAAATTATTTAGCGATGATTTTCTCGCATCCGAGAAATCAAACTTGACATTCCTTCGAATTGCAATAGGAAATTGCTAGTCCGATTATTAATTAAATCGATAGATTCGAGGTTACGTTAGGGTTCAATGCAATGCTCGTTGAGAGAAATGCGTACATCGATCTTGACCATAATTAACCTTCTACTATTAATTTAATCGATGTTTAGTACGATGATACATTAAACGATACTAATCCACCATGGTACTCGTCATTCGAATATATCATTTCTCCTTTAAATTCATTTTTAAGAAAAAAAACACTTAATTTTGTTAACAGCGCATAAAACAATTACCATCAATTAACAAAATTGTCCCACACTCGTTACTCTCGTTTGCGTTAAAACATCTAAGACGAGAAAAAATAATTAATAAAATGACATTATCCATAATTCTATGAAATTAAATGGAAAAGAAATAAACGCGGTTTCGAGTACCACAAAAGAAAAAAGGGAAGAGAGAGAGAAAAAGAAGAGAAGGACGAAGTCGAAGGTATGCACGCAGACGGACGGACAAACAGACGAACGGACAGTTAGAGAGAGAAAGAGAGAGAGAGAAAAAAAGAGAAATATATTAGCCAGAGGGAGAATTGAAGAATCACGATAGCAAAGAAGAAGTCGTCTTCTTCTACCTACGTCCTATAGCATCCATTCGTTATTTCGCGTGGTCAGCGTCATCCTCTTTGTTGAAAACGATCGCTTGTGTCGCACGTTATGCAGATTCCACAAGACTCGTATCATATTTTCACTTCACTTTCTGTATTTTCTCTTTATGTAATAAAGTAGATAGTCAAAGAAACGAAGACAATAAAATTAGATTTAGAACATCAAACAATTATAGGCAAAAAAAAAGAAAAAGAAAAGAAAATTAAAAAAAAAAAACAGAAAACTCAATAGAAAAGTCAATAGTCGATAAGAAATCGAGTTCTATCGATAGGCTGGCTACCCTTCTTTACATTACTTTCTCGTTTAACGATCTGTTCCTAATTCCAGCCTTATTGTAGCCTTATTGTTTCTTATCAGTTAGTTCGTTCTTATCGGAAATAAAACCAGGTAGACCAAACATAATCATCGTAAGCGTTCGTTGATCTGAAATCAAGATAATGTGCTAAACTTTGTTATCTCCGATCTCCGATCTGGATCATGTCTGTAAGAAATGATTCTGGTTATTTGAAGGAGTTCAACAGCCCCAAATGCTTTTATAGTGAGGAACGAATATTTTGAGTGATTTCGTAAACTTCCTCGGTTCTCGGAAATGAAGCTCGTTCACTGAAGCACGTGGCGGACTTTTCTATCAACGCAAGATGAAGAACCTCGGGCGTTTGTAAGATAGTTTCTCGAGTGAGAAAATAAGATGGAAAGAAATTCGCGTTCGAAACGTAAAATACGTAAAAAAAAGGGAAAAGTAATTGTTTAACGGACGTACGTTGTTTTCTAACGAGTATATTATAGATAAGCAATGAAACATAAGAAAAAAAAAGGTGTTATCGCGAATCGAGACTTAATTTGCCGGCAGATCGGCACAGATCGGCGTAGTCTCGACGCCTATAAGTCGAGTGCAACGGGAAATTATGTCACGCGGCGAATTACCGTTGCACTTGTGTTACGTCATCATCGTAAGGCGCAAGGGATAAAAAAAAAAAAAAAAGAAAAACGAAGAGAGCAACAAGTGCCGTCGGTTCTTCTCGATAACCACATTCGTAGGCACAACTCTAACTCTAACAAGACTGATGATGATTTAAATGACAACGCGAGCAACAATATTATAGGATTTTGTCAGGGTTTCTATTTGACCTAATGAAGATCTTGTCACTTTTGTTAATTAACATATTCGCACGTTAAAATAATAAAAAAGAAAAATATTATAATAATTGCGCTAGAGAGAGAGAGAGAGAGAATTAGTAGAGATTGAAAAGTCGAAGGTCTCTTCCAGCTAATTTATCCGACAGATTCGTTAAGAGTCGACGAACACAAAACGCTTAGTTGACACAAGTCGGAATATTCATTCGCAAGGCAAACGCGTGGAAGCGGTTCTCCATTTTCGTTCTCCTCCGACGCTCTGCAAATAGAGTTACATGTCCTTCGATGCTCGCGACTCCTCCTTGCTTTTGTCAAGAAAAATAAAAACCAAAAGTTAAAGATGAGAATGAGGCATTAGACGTTAGCGTGTTCAACGATACTCCTGTTGACCACTTTAAACCCATTTGCAATCAACTTTTTCTATATTCTCAAAATATAATATTATTAATCTTAATAGAAATATAATCGTCGATTATAAAAAATAATTCGATATTATATTTAATAAATATATTGAAATAAATATCAAAACAAATTGATATGATTTAATTACTTTCATATGTTTCAATATCATTTTCTTATTCGTTCTGCTAAAATTCATTCGATTGATTTAACATAATAACCGAAATATTTCTAACGTATATTTTCCCCAAAATGACTTCATCGACCAAACGGAAGACGACTAATCGTCGTACTAATATCGTAAAAACGACCTCGTGAACGAACGAACGTTTGACGGGACTAGCCGAGGCCAAGAACGATCTACGCGATGTCGGAGAGCGAATGCATTTTCGCATCGACCTCGCGATTACGCTTAGGCATATCCTATGCATGCATACAACGCGATGATACTCGTTTTGCTCGTGTCCTTCGTTTATGCTCGTCCTCGTCGTCGTCATCATCATCATCATCATCATTGTTGCTACCGTCGTCATCGTCATCGTTATCGTCATCGCACGGAATCATCTATTTTCTCGTCGACCAGTCGCGTCAGGGTTTAATCTGATACCAACACGCGCATATGCAACAAATTCTTTCCTTTTTTATATCTTTTTTTTCCTTTGCAACATACTCCGTGAATAAATAGTATCTTTGAAAAATAATATCGTCTTATACATTTTTTCCCCGTAAACGTCATCAATGATTTCCTTTTCATTTTAAACACGAGACGTTTTTCTAATAACAAATTTTACATTAAACTCGATTAAATGGCTATATGCAAGTTTATCAAACGTTCAAACAAATTTACAGAAAATAATAGTTTATCTGCTATGCGTGTTTTCGAACGATTTGCAAAGAACCATTAGAAGCATGATGCCAACTACAAGAATGATGATGAACGTTTCAATAAAAGATCTCGTTAAAAAGATTCTTTAAGTCATTGACGATTGAGAGACTTGAAAATAATTGCGAACGATTTAATATACAAGATGATTTTAACCAACGGAGGACATTATTTTGCATGATGAAAAAGTAAATAGTAGCGCTTGCTGACTCAACATATGAACCTGATTAGGCTTCTTGTTTAACAATATTAATTTAGTACCGAAGAATTTAACTTAGAATAAAATGAATAATTTTATGAATGAACGTTGAGTCAATCAATAAAATATCTATCCAAGAGATTAACAAAAACATTCATTGTACGTTTCAGATATGCCGGGATACCTACAAGTGCAATTGTACCGGTGTGAAAGGGCAATCTGGTTATCCTGGAATACCTGGACAACTAGGGTTAGAGGGACTTCCCGGTGAAGTCGGACCGGATGGGCCACCAGGACCTAAAGGTGAAAAAGGTGCAGGCGGTGAATATGGTGGTACCGGAGAAAAAGGCTATAGAGTAAGTATTTATTAGACAGCATACAAATAAGTGTTCTCCTAGCAATAGGATGTAACATTGGGTTACAATAAATCTAACTTATTTGGAATGCCACACTCCCACGCGCGAGTTATGCCTTTACAATATGAGAAGAAAAAACTAGAAAAAAAAAATTAGAAACGGACTTCTTTTTTACTTCTCGTTGTTCGAAAAGAAAATACTCGGGACGTAGAGAGAACGTTTAATATCAGAAATAAAAAGAGTCGTAACGTCAGCGTCTAGAAAGAGAACAGTTTTCCAAATGCGGACAGACTGAAACGCTTTTACAACCAACAACTCCCACGAGTCCGCCCGCACTTAGTCGTTCGATGCGACACTAACTGAGAATAGTATTTTCGCGTTTTTTGTTATAATTAATTCAATATAAAAAATCTATTGCAACGTGATCGATCGTTTCCGTTCTATCCCCGATCTTTAAAAAAAAAAAAAAACAAAAATTGAACGTTTTAAAACAACGTTAAACGCATCTCGTCATTGACGAGAAATAAAACTCGTAGAATAAAATCGAATAACGTAAAGGTTCGTGCTCAGAGATTGGATGAATTAGGACAATTATCATCGGGAATAAAAGCGAGATAAAGAGAGAGAGGAAAAAGATATAAAGGAAAAGGGGATCGTAAAAAATAATTCCTTTAACGAGTGATGCGTATCATACTTTTTAAGATACGAGAACAAAGACGACAAAGCGTAGGGAAAAATAATTCGCGTAAGAAAACATTTGGCACACTCATATGTTGTCTCTCTCTCGATTTATTCTTAACGAACGCTCATCGGTTTGCGGAGAAACGAACGAGTTTACGAGAGAAGAAGAAGAAGGCATATCTCGTTTTATGCGTCGACCGAAAGACACCGGGGTTACGTGCAAGCTGGAGAAGTTTCTTTCGATGACGTCATGCTTCTTAAGAAGATCGAAGCGCGCGCGCGCGCACACACACGCTGGCTCGACAAAGCAAACGAAAGAGAGAGAAAGAGAAAGAAAGAGAGAATCGCCCACGGCGATGTTTTATATTACCCAAAAAGCAAACCGTCGGACCACGTCCTTCTCGAGAAAAAAAAATATCATCCGAAATACAACATTCGAGAATTGAGTTGACGTTATACGTAACACATTTTAAAAGAAAAATTATTCCATTCTATTATATTCGTTTAAGTTTCTCGACTACATTTTCTATAATAGTCTAAACAACACGTTAGATATTTATCACGAAGATAAGAGGATCTGTGTTGAAAAAGAGATAAGACGATTAATTAAGGGCGTCTTCCTCAACAACATCAAAGTTGATCTAACTCTTTAGAGAATCGAGAACGATTTGTCGTCTACTTCGAAAATTGCCGTAGGAGTATTAACGGGCACGGCACAATTCTGCGCTTTGGGTTAACGAAACGTAAACGTGGGCGTTTAATGATAAATTGCGGTATCTCGAGTTCCAACGCGTTTGGCATTGATCCCTATCTAACGTAACGATTACCCAGATATTACGCGTGTACCCACGTGCTTGACTGCATTCTCTTTCTTTCTCTCTCTCTCTCTCTTTCACCGTCACTCTACGTCACTCTCTCACTTCTCATTCTCGTGCAAGAGTCCTCTTCCTCCTCTCTCTCTCTCTCTCTCTCTCTTTTTCTCTCTCTTTCTCTCCCTCGTACAAACTAAATCGCCTTCGTATATAATATCTCGTTATCGAGATCCAAAGAAGCAACCCTAAGCGTTTTAAGGATGCATTAAACGATCGTATAATATTATACTTTCTTTCTATTTTGTACTTACATTAAACGAGGATAATTATATAATGTTAGTATTATAAACGTCGATTAGATTTTTTTTGTTTTTAACAAAAAAAGAGAAGTAAGTAGAAAAAATTTATCATGTAACACATATTATCGAGAGTAAATATTATAATAGAATTCATTTCGCTTGTTGACGGCACGTACATATTATACGTTAAATCATCAAACACGAACGGAAAAGAAAAATAACGCACGTGGTATACTGCTGTTTTGATTTGCTTCAAGAAACTAGGCTATCTAAGCGCCGATAAAGAAATCCCTGTTGACCAATTCGCTGAAAATAACGTCTCCGTATTCCATCCTTTTTTTTTTTTATTATATATATTATTCTTTCTCTATTTCTCTCATCGTATTATCTTTGCTTTCGTCAATAAGCAAGACAAAAAAAGGAATCTCAATAATTTTTGTCCTAAATATATTTAGATCTTTTTAATTATACGAAACGAAATAATCGTTTAGCATTTGAGCGTTAACAATTTTTCCGTTTTCGGTTTGATAGGATAATTATTTTTCGATTATATTCAATGGATTAATAGATTTACCGTTCGGTAGTACATCGTTAAAGATATATGCTTGTTGTAACATTGCCGTTGGTGACAAAAAGGAACCAACATATTTAGCGATAAGGCTCATCGAACGGATACGCGAGCCAATCCTACGCGTTACTTGCTCTTCCTATCGCAAATGCGGGGGTGAAGACCATTCTCGTTTCCGTCCTACTATTCACGAAACCGAGGACGCGTTCCTCTCTCTCTCCGAAATGAAAGAATAAATACATTTTCTTCATTTCTTATCTGAGAACAAAAAAAAACAAACGTTTACATACCCTAAGAATAATAATTACCAATCTCAGCTTTCCCTTCCGTTCGTAATAAGTTTCACCAAAGTTCATCGTTCGTCTTGAACTTCTTATCGTCTTATTTTATATGTTTCCAAAAATTATTATCTATCTACTTTTTCGATATTAAATGCTTTTTCGATGGGATAAGTATCCTCGTGTTACGCATACATTTATGTTAAACTAATTTACCGAATGTCCAAAATTGAACAAATTGTAAAGATTAATGTCTGTAATAAAAGAAAAAAAAAAAAAAAAAATTTTCGATATAACGATTTAGGATTACAATTTCGAAGCTTCGATCATAAGATGCAAAAATAAAGGAAACAAATATTCCGATTTATCGAAAATCATCGGCAATGATCGAGGATCAAAAATTCGAAAAAGGGGAACAGTGTCATTTCGTCCCATTGAAACGTGCTATCCTTGTCCTTTGTTAAAACGTTGACAAATCATAGGAATTTCTTTCGAAATCAGGTCGCTGCGATCTCGGAATCTTGCGTATATACGGACAAGAGAAAAAGAGAGGACGAATGAGACAAAAGATGGAAGTCGCTCGTTGATAACGCACTTCCCATTGACAAGTGTACAAGTGTCTCCGTCTCTCTCTCTTTCTCTGTTGCATCCCAACCGCTTTCAAACCGGAAGTCGAATGATCTCATATCCAGATATTCGTTGATGCATACTCTCTTCCTTCTCTCTTATTCGAATCCTCATCAAAACCACGTCCTTTTTTTCGCAATTCATTCTTGTATCCTCTCTGACGATTGTAATATCGCCCACTTTTTCTATATTTTTTTTTTTTTTTTTGATTACACCGTTCCAAGGTTGCTTCGACGCTATTTCCTTCTTCTTCTTCTTCCTTTTGTTTTTTTTTTTACTCCTTCAATAAAAACGTTTTTCTCTATCAATTGCAAATTAAATGAAAAAGAGAAAAAAGGTTTTTATCGAAACGAATTTCGCTTGATATTGGTAATGGCTGCAAGGAAGCCATTTACGGTTACGTTTTAATACCAGACACCGCGATTGGGCCCCTTTCCTTTTCGTGCATACGAAAGTGGTCCCGTCGAATGAAGAAACTTTAAATGGAAGTGTGTCAATATCGTATGGAGTATGCCCGTAAAGGGCATACGAGAGAGTCTTTACAACGATGCGTTCATCTTTTCGTACTCCCAAAACGTACGTGTATTACATTAGTAACGTAATCTTATATGATTTTATTATTATAAATCTTTTTTCTTTACTCTTTCCTTCTTTTTTTTTTGTCAGGGCGAGCCTGGAATACGAGGATTCACCGGATCTCCTGGACTTTCGGTATGTACAATAATTAGTTCTAATATTAAAATCGTGTAATATTGAATAGATAATGTTTTCAAAAAAAGAAAAAAAGAAAAAAAGGGAATAATAAAATTTGTACATTTTGGAAAAATAAATGTTGAGTTTGAAAATACTCACAGGGTAACACAGGAGTCCCTGGAGTTATGGGACCGGATGGTATTGACGGATGCAACGGTACAGACGGTCGAGCCGGTCCACCAGGTATGTCTGGAGTTTATGGTGAACGAGGACCGGAAGGAGATATAGGAGATTATGGTCCACCTGGTGAACCTGGTGAAGGTGGAATCAATTCGGTAGGCGTGAAGGGAGTTCAGGGTGATTCTGGTATCGATGGACCTCAGGTAAATAATTTGTGATTTAATTAGATTCCATCATTAAGTTTAAGCTATCTTTTGAAAAAAATATAAATAAATATATTTGTACCCAGAAAAATATGAATTATTATTTGCTATACAGGGTTATCCAGGATCGTACGGAGTTCCAGGAGATATGGGTTATCCAGGAGAAACTGGCGACTTTGTAAGTAATTTCTAATCACATTTACGATAATGGTCAATAATTATTTAAACACGTTTTTCTTGGAATAATAATAAAATAAATTGAGAGAGAAAGCAATCGGATACGAGATAGCCTTTAATATAGAATCGAATAAAATTTTGTCGAACTGTAAGAGAGGATAAAACAATGATCATCGTCGTGAGACGTGATCATTTCTTTTTGGTATTACGATTAAAAAAGAAAAAGAAAAAAAAAGAGATTAGTTCCCAGACAACAAGTAAGAAGCAAATTTTAATCGCTCGTACTAAAACGACTGCGCGTGTACCGAAATCCGAGGCGATGATACTCTATCTGCTGACACGACTATCACTGATAGCACGAACCAACTTTCTCGAGAGAAGATTGAAAATGTTCAAAAAAAAAAAATGACGAATAATATAGACAACTATTCAAGGTTCTCGATAGAACATCCCAATTTTAAAAAACTTGCTATCTTGCTACAGCTCGTATAGATAAATAATTCATTGAAAAAATCATGGAGATAATATCTAATAATATGATATATTATTACATGAAAACTATCTAAAACATTTTGATTTTTGTTTATTGACGCATATATTAGACAGTTTTATTTGAATAATATATAATTGTAGGGTTATCCAGGTGGTCCAGGTCTACCAGGTATGGAAGGTGATCGAGGAGAAACCGTTTATGGTGTAAGAGGAGTACCTGGTGAACAAGGTGACAGAGGTGAAGCTGGTTCGAGTAATGAACAATATATAAGAGGTAAAGGTACTAGTCCGGTTAAAGGATCTAAAGGTGTGAAAGGACAAAGAGGAGATTTTGGATACCGTGGACGAAAAGGAGAAGTAGGAGCAAAGGGACCACTGGTATAATAGGAAATTAATATAATTTATTGAAATGATTATTATTAACTAAAAGATATTAGCAAAAAGGATTTCATATCTCCGTAGGGTCGACCAGGTTTCGCTGGAACGAAAGGTTTCAAGGGTGAACAAGGGGACGACGGTCCAAGAGGAAAACAAGGTTACGAAGGACCAGCTGGACCTGCCGGAAGTAAGGGAGAAAAGGGTGCACCGGGTTACGCAGGAAATCCTGGATCGGACGGTTCCGATGTATGCGTCCTACGGAATTCTCTAAAATCAATTTACGTTAATCTTTTGCCATTAACTTTATTTACTATTTCGTTTCAGGGTGAATCCGGAGAAATCGGTAATCAAGGTCCTCCGGGAAGGCAAGGAGCTGCCGGCGAACCAGGAACGTATATACCAGAACTCGACGAAATAATTGCTGGAAGTATTGGAATTCAAGGAGATCTCGGTAAAATTTGTATCTACAAATTCATCGAAAATGTCAATTGACTTCGAATAAAACGTCGTCTCTTTTCTTTTTCGATAGGACCACCTGGTGAGCCAGGTGAATCAGGAACTCCTGGACTTCCTGGAAAAGTTGGATACATTGGTCCTCCAGGACCACCAGGACCTGCTGGACGACCAGGTGAACCAGGACGGAAAGGTTCTTCTATCAAAGGAGAACAAGGAGACGATGGTACGACAAGCTATTCAATATTTCGAAATCATACGAAAAATGATATTATATATATTTAATATAGATAAATAATAAATCATTATTTTGATATTTGACAGGCATTCCTGGACCAATCGGACAACAAGGACCACCCGGTCTTCCTGGTGCGCCTGGACTTATCGGTGCAAAAGGATTTCCAGGTGTCACAGTAATAGGTCCACCAGGTCCCGATGGCAAATACGGATTACCAGGACTAACTGGTCCACCTGGAGATCGTGGAGATCCTGGACCACCTGGTAATGAAAACTTCCTTTAGAGAATTGAAGATAATTACAAGATTTTTACAGAATAAATATATTGATAACGTTCGTGAACATAATTTTAGGAGACAAAGGTTTTCCTGGAAAAGGAGTTCAAGTAAGAGGACCACCTGGAGAGCATGGTTTACCAGGATCTCCAGGATTGCCTGGTCCAGATGGATGGCCAGGCAGACCTGGTCTAAAAGGAGTTAAGGGCTACCGCGGGGATGATTGTGGCATTTGTACGCCAGGTAATCGAAGAAAAAACGAGCACTTAAGAACAGACATACAGATCATTTAATATTAGATACTTATGGGAGATTTAAAATTCTATCATTAAAGCTCGTTATACATTTATGTAGGATTACCTGGTGAAAAGGGTGAACGTGGTGATTCTGGTGTGAGCGGATACTCGGGAACTCCTGGATTTCCTGGATTGCCTGGACCGCGGGGATTCAAGGGAATACAAGGTAAAACTGGTCCAGTAGGACTAGCGGGATTGGAAGGAGACAGTGGAAGGCCAGGTATTGCAGGACCCCAAGGTCCTAAAGGACAGGCAGGAAAGGTCTACTTACCACCGGAAGAAAAGTACGTGAGCCCACCTGGGGATATCGGTGATAAAGGATTCCCTGGATTAGAAGGTCCTATGGGACCGTGGGGTAAAATTGGCCTAATCGGAGATACCGGAGCACCTGGACCGAAAGGAGAAAAAGTATAACATGTTTATGCACATACATATATAATATACACATACATATATAAAACTTGTATAATATTGTTAAATATGATTTTTAGGGCGATCACGGCGCTCCCGGCTTGATTGGTCGTAATGGAACAGATGGATGGGATGGTATACCAGGTGAAAAAGGTGAACCAGCATCGGTACCAATCGAATTTTTACGTGGCGATCCAGGATATGACGGTGCGCCAGGTACAAAAGGTACTGCTGGAGAATTAGGAAAGAAGGGAGAACCAGGTGATTCTACACAATTTTCGGTCAAGGCACAGGGAGATAAAGGATATAAAGGCGAAAGAGGTGCACCTGGTTAGTAATAATTGAAATAGTCTTATCCTAACTTGTAGAAGAGTAACCATATCTTTTGACAATAAGATATTAATTAAACAATGTTTGCAGGCGAACCTGGTTATAAAGGTTATCAAGGACAAACCGGTGACGAAGGTTTCCCTGGTTTGTCAGGACCTATGGGATCTCCTGGTTTATCGCTTCAAGGACCAATAGGTTTGAAAGGATATCCAGGAATGCCAGGATTGCAAGGACCTCGTGGCACTGCTGGTTCTCCTGGACTTCAAGGACCAGAAGGTTTTCCAGTAAGTATAAATACATTGTCAGTGAAAAGTATCTCTAACATAAGAAATAGTAATAACGTGTTATGATATAAGTCACTAATCCAATTACAACACGTAATAATAAAAAATATTTATCGTAGGGTCGTGTTGGTAGTAAAGGAGATCGTGGTGATCCTGGCACAAATCTTCTTTACGGTGAAATAGGTGAACCCGGTTGGTACGGAAGTAAAGGTGAAATTGGAGATGCTGGACCACAAGGTTTCCCTGGCAGACCAGGAGTAGATGGACTTAAAGGTATGAAAGGAGCCAAAGGAGCTCCTGGTTTCGAGGGCTTGCCAGGTCTTCAGGTTAGTATGTTTATTTAAGAGAGGATTCTAAACGTTATCTTATTAAGTATATTATTATTTTTCTTACTGCGTGTGTGTATGTGTGTGTGTGTGTGTGTAGGGAGCTAAAGGCCAACGAGGATACAGTATACAGGGTGAAAGAGGTTTTCCAGGAATACCAGGGCAACCAGGAATGTCTGGAAGAATAGGTGATGTAGGAGCTCGTGGTAAGTTACAAGGGAGAAATCGTTTACAAATAGACAGTAATGAGATCGTAATAATATGAAGTTTTGTAAAAAAAATTAAAAAGGAAAATAACTATGATACACATTTATATATTATCCAGGACCAGATGGCCCGTCAGGATTCGACGGCATGAAAGGATTAAAAGGAGAAATTGGTTTCATGGGAAGACGTGGCGATGATGGTGACATGGGTCCTCAAGGTTTCCAAGGTTTAGATGGAAGTGTAGGTTTACCTGGACGTCCAGGTTTGGAAGGTGACGTCGGTGAGATTGGTGAATCCGGACCAACTGGTTGGCCTGGTAACGAAGGATTCGACGGTGCACCTGGTCCGAAAGGAGAAAAAGGAGATATAGGTATCACTGGTAATCCAGGTTACCTTGGCCAAATGGGTCTTAAGGGTATTCAGGGTGATTTTGGACCGGACGGTATACCTGGTCTACCGGGCGACAATTCCTTCAGTGGACCACAGGGTGATATGGGAGACCCTGGTTTCACTGGAGAAATTGGACCCGTCGGACGCGCTGGATTTGATGGTCGACCTGGTTTACCTGGAGAACCTGGCTTAGCTACGGACGGATTAAATGGTTTAACCGGAGAAAAAGGAGAACCAGGATTCGATGGATATGAGGGACCACCTGGCCCTAAAGTAATAATCAAAGAAATAATGTTAATAGATATTTAGATTCCTAACCGAAAATAAATGGCAAATGTATTTTATTTAGGGAGAGATTGGTGATATGGGACCGGACGGATTTAAAGGAGAAAGAGGAGATCAAGGTTTCCAGGGTCAACCAGGCTATGCTGGAATTCCAGGTAGATACGGAGCTAAAGGTCAACGTGGTCCAGCGGGATTACCTGGTTTCGACGGACCAGATGGAAAACCAGGTCCCGATGGTGACCCCGGTTTAATGGGTCGTCCAGGTAAAAGATCTTTCATTTAATATGTATATTATTATAATATTATTATCGAGATACATATGTCCCGCTGCAAATTGAAAATTATTTAAATATCGTAGGTATGCCGGGAGACGATGGGTTACCAGGTTACCCAGGTATTATGGGTGCACCAGGTGCCAAAGGTCCAGTAGGAGAACCTGGAATGGCATCATATGCAGTTGCAGAAACAGGTGATCGAGGAAACCCGGGATTAAATGGCTTTCAAGGACAGAAAGGAGAATCAGGTGATCAAGGATATCTTGGAATACCGGGTCAAAAAGTTAGTTCACTTGTACCATACATTATTTCTTCTAAAAGAACTATTAATAAGAGAACGAATTATATAGGGTCAACAAGGTGATATAGGATATCCAGGACAACATGGTTTCTCAGGTTTCCCAGGGCTAAAAGGAATAATAGGAGATGAAGGTCCTCGTGGTCTTCCCGGTAACGTATTAAAAAAAAAGCAATCATTGATTTTCATTTAGATCGGAAAGTACAAATGTTAATTATTTTCTTGTCTCGGTAGGTCGAACCGAGACATTTGCCGAGCAGGGTGAACAAGGACGAGCTGGTCTCGATGGAATGCCTGGAATTCCTGGTCGACCAGGGCAAAAAGGTGCTCCTGGAGAATACGGATTTAATGGCCCTAAGGGAATTCGTGGAGATGTTGGATATTCGGTTCGGGGACCTAAAGGAATAATAGGAGATCAAGGTAAACGTCCTAGTACTAAGCAAATAAACTTCAATTCGATGTGAATGAGAAGAAACGAGAAAGAAAGAAGTTAATTATTAATATTAATTAATGAATCGTATGATGCAGGTCCGACAGGATATGTAGGTTTCCCTGGTATGCCCGGTGACGAAGGATTGCCTGGCATACCAGGCATACCTGGTCCCAAAGGTTATGTCGGTGAACCAGGTGAATCCGCTAGTAGTGCAAAAGGTGCAAAAGGTGAACCAGGTTGGCCAGGACTGGACGGTCGACTCGGTCCAAAAGGAGCAAGAGGTAACTCAGGTTTACCTGGTTTCCAAGGTTTACCTGGGCCTAAAGGAGAAACAGGAGATAGCGGGGAACCAGGATTAGCAGGATTGCCTGGCCCTCCAGGACCACAGGTTATTTCTAATAAATACTTTTCTTCCTTCTTAATAAGTACTTAAGCTTTAAATAAGCAAGTAACTTATATCGAATATTATTGTCTTTCTATTAAGGGTCCGAAAGGAGATCGGGGTATAAATCCATTTTCGAATTTTAATCGACGTGGACTTCCTGGAGATATGGGACCTGTAGGATTGCCAGGTAATGAGGAAACCAATTGAATTGACTGAATAACTGCATGAAAATAACTTACAAAACAAGATGTTTAAATAATTGTTTTTATTTTGATAGGATTTCCTGGACCTCGAGGTCCAATAGGGGATCCTGGTCCAGACGGATTTCCTGGTCGAGAAGGAGAACTTGGTATGATCGGCTTACCTGGACCACAAGGACCTGAAGGTAACAAAGGTCCTGCTGGTTATCCTGGCTCACCTGGCACGGTTGGTAGACAAGGTCTCCCCGGTAAGTTTTAATATTACATTCATTACTATGTTGGACTATTGACTAAGTCGAAAAATAGTATTTTTTTCAATTGGAATAAACAGTCACAGATAATTTACCATGAAATATTTATCTAGGAAATGCTGGCTTCCCTGGCATACCAGCACCACCATCACCCGGTCCCAAAAACAGAGGATTCCATTTCGCTAGACACTCGCAATCCGTCATGATTCCACTTTGTCCAAAAAATACAGTTAAATTATGGGATGGATTCTCTTTACTCCATATTATGGGCAATGGACGAGCGTACGCACAAGATCTTGGTAAGTACAGGCAAATCTACCTTGTAGTATGCTCCCATGAAAACTTATAATAAAAAAATAATACATTTACGATGCTTTTTAATTACAGGAAGTGCAGGAAGTTGTCTTAGAAAGTTTTCAACGATGCCTTTTACATTCTGTAACATGAACGATGTTTGCTCTTATGCCAATCGTAACGATTATAGTTATTGGCTCAGTACCCCCGAACCTATGCCAATGATGATGACACCTATACCAGCCCCACAAATCGGTAGATACATATCAAGATGTTCAGTTTGTGAGGCTCCCACGAGGGTCATTGCTTTACACAGTCAATCTATGAATATACCAGAGTGTCCTGGTGGTTGGGAAGAAATATGGATCGGTTACAGTTTTTACATGGTAATTACATGACAAAGCAAATTGACCTATCAAAATAATGGTTAAAATCTTGCTCATTATTAATTAATAAAATAAATGTTACAGCACAGAGACGCTGGTGCAGACGGCGGTGGTCAGTCATTGATCTCCCCAGGATCGTGTCTAGAAGAATTCCGTTTTAGACCATTTATCGAGTGTCGTGGCATGGGTACTTGTAATTTCTTCACCACAGCGACTTCTTACTGGTTGGCGACTATCGAAGACTATGCAATGTTCCGAAAACCTTTGCAGCAAACAATGAAAGCAGATCATACGTCGAAAATCAGTCGTTGTACTGTATGCCTTAAACGTCGTATTACCGAAGATCGACCTGTCCAACCAGAAGTAGGTAATATTTATCGTCGACCAACAAATTATCCACAGTCACGATATTCCCCGAATTACCCACGGCAAAGAACGTCTGCTGGTAGAAATAATAATTACAATGTACCACGTGTACCATATCATTTTCGAAGAGGAGGCCGATTTCGTAAAACCAAACGAACAACAACAGAGGCACCGACATAGTAAACGAGTTTTCGAATTAGGAGAATTGGAGTAGACTCATTCGATTAACCCTTCTTTGTACATATATTACAAAATACATATATATGTGAAGTCTTCTCTCTTATGGCTAATGCAAAGTTACACGAAAATAATCGATTGACTTTTAGCAATTGCACGGTGGCCAAATGCGAATTTAAAATTATGCCAAATAAAAGGAAGAACAGCGAAGATTTTCTCGCAATCCTGACATAATGAATATCAATTTAATTGCGATATTCACGAATGTAATAAAATAATTAAATTAATATTCGCCCATATTAATATGACACATTTGTTAATGTAAAGCTTTTTAAGTGTATCGAATCAAATAAAGATATTTTCTATAAGCTATTCCTTTGCTTTCTTTTCGTAACAATTTACAGTTACTTATATTATTCCTTATGTTACAGTCTAAAGAGTACGTCGAACATTTAAATGTCTATAATATGTTCCTGGAAATTAAGTAAATTACATTTTATTTAAGTTATGTTTAGAGATGCCAGGATGAATATTTTCTAAAACAATTGTCAATAATAAATACTTACCGACCATCGGTTCTCTAGTGGTCGGTAAATCCAAAGTATACAGAAGTACATAGAAGATCACTTGTCCCCTTTTTTATCTAACCAGATTCGTCTTAGTTCACAAGTGGCCGATAGTAGGTATTTAACAGGATAACGGTACAAACTATCAAAGAATACAGTATTCATGTATTTTTTGATAGTATTGTACCGTCATCGTATTAAGTACATACTATCGCCCACTGATGATCCCGTTAGTAGTAGCCAAGACGAATCTTTTTAGATAAAAAAAGGGAACAAGTTAGCTTCTTTGTACTTCTGTATTCTTTGATCCAACCAATGAACGCTCTAGGCGGTAATGTGACGTACTTTTCTTGTGCTACCTCTTTTATCATCATGCGCTCCGCTTACATATCTTCCATTTTTGCGACACGAGAAAACTATCTTAATTACCAAGAATATATCTGGATTTCTATTGGAAATTGGAAAAAAACGTCAAAATTTTAATTCAAATGTATCATTTAAATTTCTCTTATAATATGTTATATAAATATATTAAAGGTATTGATAGATACATTAATTTATATATTTCCAAGCAATTAGATATTTTTTATTAACTTTCGTTCATTTATTAGAACTTTTTTTCAAACAAATTAATATTAAAGTGTGTTGATATTAAAATATAATAAAAATATATAAAGACATTCTCTCTCTCTCTCTCTCTCTCTCTCTCTCTCTCTCTCTCTAATAAAAGTTGTCTGAAGTTTGAACTTCTTCTACTACAAGTTGAAATTCTTTTTTATAATATCTTACATGAAATGAAATTCATTTGTATGTGATAATCGATTTTATTGATTCATCTATTGAAACTAAATGATAAAGAATGCAAATAATTAAAATAATAGTAATAATAATAATAATAATAGTAATA